GTCAGTTATGGGGCTTGAATTCAAGGACTGGGCATTGTCCCTGAGCTCTTGTGTTCAAGGCTCATGCTCTACCACTTTGTGCCAAAGCACCACTTCTACTTTTCTGGAGGTTAATGAGAGATAAGAATCTCATGGACTTTTCTGCCTGGGCTGGCTTTGAACCATGATCCTCAAATCTCAGCCTCCTGAGTAGCTAGGGTTACAGGTATGAGTCATCTGCACCTGCTAAACTTTGTTTTTTATGCTTCTAACAAAGCTGAAGATTATATGCCCAGCCTTTATGCTACAGTGATTGGAAAGTAGAAACTTAAAAGAGTGATGTGCTGGGTGCTGGTTGGTGGATCATGCCTGTAACCCAAGCTACTCAGGAGGCTGAGCTCTGAGGACCACGGCTTGAAGCCAGCCCAAGCAGAAAAGACTCCGTGAGATTCATCTCCAATTAAGCACTCAAAAACAGGAAGTGGGGCTGGAAAGGTGGCTCAGTGGTAGAGCACTTGCCTTGCATGCCTGAGGCCCTGGGTTCAATTCCTCAGCACCACATAAGCAAAAAGAAAAAAAGCCGGAAGTGGTGCTGTGGCTCAAGTGGTAGAGTGCTAGCCTTGAGCTGAAGAGCTGAGGGAAAGCGCCAAGGCACAGAGTTCAGGCCCCATGACCAGACCCAAAAAAACAAAAACAAAAACCAGGAAGTGGCTATGGTTCAAATGGTAGAGTGTTAGCCTTGAGTACAAAGAGGCTCAGGGACAGTGCCCAGGCCAAAATTCAAGCTCCAACAATGGACAAAAAAAGTGATGGTGTGTGTTTCTGAGTTTATTACTTAGTAGGACATACATATTACAAGAGGAAACAGACAGTATAGGATTCATACTTGTTTACATTGAACTATGAATTCAGAGTAAGGTTGAAGGATAGGTTTATTCCTGAGGGAGGTGTGTTTTGAGTTAGTATTTGAAGGACATTATTGATGTAGAATGGTAGGGGCCTGGCAGGAAATTGGTCGTTTCAGATACAGGGAATGAAGTAGGAAAGGTTTAAATGGCAGTAATTAGTTAATCTAATTAGTGGGGGGCTAGCAAGCAAATTGGCTCGGCAGGCCTATTGGGCCTTGGGGATTGTGTAGCCATTAACTCGGTGAATGCAGAGTGCTAATGGTGTCACAGTTCAGTCATGTATCCCAGTTCATTTCTGTCTTTACCCAACCAGAGCCCTGTTCCACACTCCAAGCAGCTATCTTGCATGCGCAAACCCTTAGTCAGAGGAGGTGGCACCGGACACGAAGGTGAGGTTGCAAAGAATAAACTGTCCTTCAAGGTCATATTCTTATCTGAGGTTGGCTCCATGGTAATGGGGGGAGGGGAGTAAGGACATAACAGACCTTCCCTCCAGTGCTAAGGGGGTAATATGTTAGGAGAGTAAGATTATTCTCTGACTTGAGTTTTTCTATCCCTTGATGGGTGGAAAAGAGATAAAAGGAAAGATGACAAAATATATTTATTTATACACATATATTTATTCACACACATATATTTATGCATTTATTTATTGTACTGGGTGTTGAACCCAGGGCCTCATGCATGTAAGGCAGGCACTCTACTATTTTGTTATTCTTGGCCATGGGACTTGAACTCAGGGCCTGGACACTTTCCCTGAGCTCTTTTGCTCAAGGCTAGCATTCTACCACAGTGTCACTTCCAGTTAATTAAAGCTAAGTCTCACAGACTTTCTTGCTTGGGCTAGCTTTGAACTGAGATTCTCAGATCTCAGCCTCCCAAGTAGCTAGGATTGCTTGGTATGAGCCACTGGCACCCAGCACTCTATTATTATTATTTTTTTTTTTGTCGGTTGTGGGGCTTGAACTCTGGGCCTGGGCGCTGTCCCTCAGCTCTTCAGCTCAAGGTGAGCGCTCTACCACTTGAGCTATAGCGCCACTTCCGGTTTTCTGGTGGTTTATTGGAGATAGGAGTCTCACGGTCTCTCCTGCCCGGGCTGGCTTTGAACCGCGATCCTCAAATCTCAGCCTCCTGAGTAGCTAGGATTACAGGCGTGAGCCACCAGCGCCCGGCCCAGCACTCTATTATTAAGCACACCCCTAGCCCAATAATGGTTGAACTAGTAGTACTAAGTGCTATGGAGGAAGTAAAGATTGGTTTGTTTTTGTGCTTGTACTCTCACTTGGCTTTTATGCTCAAGCTGGTGTTCTACCACTCGAGCCACTTCCAGCTTTTGGCTGGCTAATTGGAGATAAGAGTTGGAGATTTTTCTGCCTGGACCGGCTTTGAGCCTACATCTTTATAGCTCAGATTTCTGAGTAGCTAGGCTTATAGGCATGAGCCACCAGTGCCTGGCTCCATCTGTCTTAAGATGTCCTTCTTCTACTCTACCATGGAAGACTTTTGATTGCTCTTGCACCCAACTAAATCCAGTCTCTTTCTAATTGCTGGTTTTTCTTCCCTTCTTTTGTCTTTTTTTTTTTTTGCCAACCCTGGGGCTTGAACTCAGGGCCTGACCACTGTCTCTGAGCCTCTCTGTGCTCAAGTCTAGCATTCTACCACTTGAGCCACAGCGCCACTTCTGGCTTTTTTTGCTTATGTAGTACTGAGGAATCAAACTCAGGTAAGTACTCTACCACTAAGCCACATTCCCAGCCAATCTTTGCCACTTTTATCAAAAGCAACTGTTCTCTTTTTGTGTGTATGTCGACTGTGGGGCCTAGAACTCTGGGCCTGGGCACTATCCCCCAGCTCTTCAGCTCAAGACTAGCGCTCTACCACTTGAGCCAGAGCATCATTCTGGTTTTCTGGTGGTTAATTGGAGATAAGAGTCTCATGGACTTTCCTGCCTGGGCTGGCTTTGAACTCTGATCCTCAGATCTCAGCCTCCTGAGTAGCTAGGATTACAGGCATGAGCCACCAGCACCTGGCTCTCTTTTCTTTGGTGGTAGTGGATTTTTTTTTTTTTTGGTCCGGTCATGGGGCCTGAACTCTGGGCCTGGGCGCTGTCCCTCAGCTCTTCAGTTCCAGGCTAGCACTCTACCACTTGAGCCACAGGGCCATTTCCGGCTTTTTTTCTTTTTTTGCTTATGTGGTGCTGAGGAATCGAACCCAAGGCCTCAGGCATGCAAGGCAAGCGCTCTACCACTGAGCCACCTTCCCAGCCCGGTGGCAGTAGATTTTAACTCAGGGCTAGACCAGGTACTCTACCACTTAAGCCACACTCTCAGGCTCCTGAGTAGTTAGGATTACAGGCGTGAGCCTCACCCTTTTTTCCATAAATTATTATTATGGAAGTGGTGGTGGTGGTGGTCATGGGGCTTGAACTCTGGGGCTTAGGTGCTGTACCTGCACTCTTCAGTTCAAGGCTAGCGTTCTACCACGTGAGCCATAGTGCCACTTCCGGTTTTCTGGGTGGTTAATTGGAGAGAAGAATCTCACAGACTTTCCTGCCTGGGCTGGCTTTGAACCACAATCATTAGATCTCAGCCTCCTGAGTAGGTAGGATTACAGACATGAGCCACAGGTGCCCAGCTATTATAGGTAAACTTTTTTTTCTTTTTGGTTAGTTGTGGGGCTTGAATTCTGGGGCTGGGTGCTGTCCCTTAGCTCTTCAGCTCAAGGTCAGCACTCTATCAACTGAGCCACAGCGCCATTTCCAATAAACTTTTTTGCCAGTCCTGGGGATTGAACACAGGACCTGGGCACTGTCCCTGAGCTTCTTTTGCTCAAGGCTAGCACTCTACCACTTAAGCCACAGCATCACTTCTAGTTTTTTCTGTTTATTCGGTACCGAGGAACCGAACACAGGGCTTCATGCATGCCAAGCAACAGTCCACTACTAAACCACATTCCCAGCCCAAACTTTTTTTCATTTCATATTTTATATAGATGCAAGGGAAGCCAGGCACTGGTGGCTCACAACTGTAATCCTAGCTACTTAGGAGGCTGAGATCTGAGGATCATGGTTCAAAGTCAGCCCTTATAGGATAAAATCCCTGAGACTGTTCTCTCCAATCAGCCACCAGAAAACCGGAAGTGGTGCTATGCCTCAAGTGGCAGAGTGCTATCTTTGAGCTAAAGAGCTCAGGGACAGCACTCCGGCCCAGAGTTCAAACCTCAGGATCGACAAAACAAACAAAAAACAAACAAGGGAGTTTTGCGTGCACAAATCCATTTCTAAGTACAATGTTTCTTGGTCCTAATGACCACTCTGTCATTCTCCTTTCTCAAACCTGCCTTATCAAGTTAGCTTGTCCTATTTTCACACGTGTATAAAGTACATAAATTTTTATTAAAAGAGAAAATCACGTCACTCTGGAGTCACAAATTCAAGGTCAGCTTAGGTGACTGGGTGAGACCCTATGTCCAAAAAACAAACAAGAAGACAAAACAAGCTAGGTGCTGGTGGCTTTCACCAGTAATCCTACTAGGGAAGCTGAGATCTGAGAATCCCGATTCGAATCCAGCCCCGGGGCAGGAAATGTTCTTGAGAAGCTGATCTCCAATTAACCCCCAGAAAACAGGAAGTAGATCTGCAGCTCAAAGTGGTAGAGCGCTAGCCTTGAACAGAAAAGCTCGGAGGCAGTGCCCAGGTCTCGAGTTCAAGTTCCATGATGGGCAGGAGGGGGGGGGGGTAAATGAAGTCAACAAACACAAAACAACCTATAGACAGATACACACACACACACACACACACGCACACACGCACACACGCGTACGTTCTTTTAAGGCCACAGCTTGGCCTGGTTAATGTCCTTTCCCAAAGGTAAAGCACAGCAGACACAGAGAGGAACCGGAGTTCTAACCATAAAGGCAGAAGCTGATAAAGGCTCGGAGAGGCGGCCGGGAAATCCACAGGCGCCCGGCGTGGACACGCCCACGAAGTCGCCAGGGTGTCTACGCGCCTGGTCCTGTGACCACACACTTGGCTAGGTCGTTTCTGCCCAGCGACCTCGTTTCCCCAGAAGCCGTCCCCGCAGCTTCGCCTACGCACCCCAAGCGCCCTTTCTCTCCCGGGCTGCGAAAGGAACTACATCTCCCGGCAGGCAGCGTCGTCCCTCCTTCCTCCCTGTCCAGGTTCCAGGCCCTGGCAACCGCGTGACGTTGAGGGTACCCGGAGCTGCGGTCACCGCTTCAGTTCTGGTGGACCCAGCCGCCTGGGCGGGAGCCGGGCGACTGCAGTCGTAACAACTCCGGGGCGCGGAATCTACCCCGCGGCCCTCACCCTTACACCGGTGCGCAGCCGCAGGGCGCGAGCCAGCCGCAGCCTCAGGGCCCAGGGAGGGTCGCGCGCATGGCCTCCGCGGGCGCGCGGCGGCTCCCAGCCGGGACGCGCACAGCCGCCCGGGGCTGTTGCGGCCTCACGCTCCGCTCTAGCGCGCTCTTGGCCCCGCCCCCCGGCCCTCCGCGACCAATGAGGTGAGAGCGAGGCGCCGGGCGTCCGCGCCGCGGGGCAGGGGTCGCCTGGCGCCCCCGAAGTTCCACGGTGGGGGGTGGCGGCCCTAGGTGGCTGGCAGCGGCGGTGTCTTGGGAGCTAGCGTAGAGCTTTGGAGAATGCTTTTACAAGTTGTACCCTCGGGGTACGGTGTCACCCCCACCTCTTGTCCCTTGTTGGAGATGTGCTGTTAACTGGGCTGGAGGGGCTGGGAGACTCTGTGTGTGTGTGTGTGTGTGTGTGTGTGTGTGTGTGTGTGTGTGTGTTTGTGTGTATGTATGTATGTGTGTGTGTTCCTTGACAGCTTTTGCTTTGAGCAGAATAGCCCAAAGGCGACAGTGCCTTTGCACGCTCCCGTTTTTTCCAGCCCCACCCCTGGCCCTGTCCTTAGCTGCCCTCGACCTTTTGCACTCGTGACTGCCTGGCCAGGGCCCTGGGAGAGCCGCAGCAGGTGCTGGAGGGGCAAAGCTTGTCTGGACGACCTTCCTCTGGGATGAACCCTTCTTCCCTTGCATCTGGAAATGATCGGCTGCAAAAAGAGAAGAAGAAAAAAAAATCGTGACGTTGCCTTTCCTTTGCTTTTGGCCTTAGGTTTCTGATTTCCTGCAGCCTCCTCTTGCCCCGGGCTGCCCAGGTCTTGACAGCTGAGGCTGGCCTACCTCCCTGTCGTTCCTTCATGAGTTTTGCAGCCCCTTTCACCAACAAGCGCAAGGCTTACTCAGAGCGGAGGATTATGGGGTGAGCATCCTCCTCTTCCCCTCCACTTAACCATGTCTAGGTACAGTGTAAGGGCACAGATGATTAAGATTCATACTTGGGACTTTTTTTTTCCTATCTTCTGCCAGCCTTCTTCTTGGTTACTGTACATGTATTTTAGGCGAAATAAATCTAGGGTTGGACTATAGCAAAAGGTATGTGTTAACCCAACAGAGTAGGTGAGGATGATAGTTCCTGCTCATAATACAGGCAAGCAGGATTGTGTTCAAGGACAGCCTGGACTACATAGCAACTCCCTATCTCAAAAAACAAAAAAACCCACAACCCTCCCCCCCCCAAAAAATAACCCAACAACAAAAACAGAAACAGGATATTACTTCTCTGATGATCCTTTCAAACATTTTATGAACACAATAGAATAATATCTTATTGACCAATTTGTTATGTGCTAGCAGCAAGGCTGCCTAGGTATTTTACATAAATTTCCCTCATTCCTTACAACAAACCTATGAACCAGGTATTGTTAGCTTCATTTCATAGGTAAGAGTAGAGGCACAGGTTTTACCTAGGTTTACAGTTAGTTGTAGAGCTAGGATCTGATCTTGTGTGATAGCCAATAAGAAACTCCTCTAGAAGTCTCTCTTGCATTCAAAATAATGTGAAATTCTACAAACCTTAAAACAGTTTAACATCAGAGACATGTAAGTTTGCATTTGGCAAATCTTTAGTTCCTAAAGTTGTGTGGTAGTAGCTGGCAAAGGCAGGTGTTGAAGACCAGTGACAAATAGGAATCTGACCCAGCTGGCAGTTCCTTGGCCTCTCTGTGATCCTTTTCCCCTAGGTACTCAATGCAGGAGATGTATGAGGTCGTGTCCAATGTCCAGGAGTATCGAGAGTTTGTGCCATGGTGTAAGAAGTCTCTGGTGGTATCTAGCCGTAAGGGTCACCTGAAAGCCCAGTTGGAAGTCGGCTTCCCACCTGTCTTGGAGCGCTATACCTCTGCAGTTTCTATGGTCAAACCTCACATGGTCAAGGTGAGGCCTGTTTGGGACAGGATATTTTTTGTCCTCCTTAGCAATTCACATTTAAGAGTTTTTTTTTTTCCCGGGGGGGGGGGCATTTCTTAAAATTATTTTATCTCTGATTATTTACCTAATAAATGGGCACCTGTGGCTTATACCTGTAAACCCTAGTTTTGAGGAGACTGAGATCTGAGGATTGCAGTTCAAAGCTAGTCCAGGCAGGAAAAGTCTGTAGGACTCTTTTTATTTGCCAGTTCTAGGGCTTGAACTCAGAGCCTGGACACTGTCCCCGAGTTTTTTTGCTCAAGGCTAGCACTCTACCATTTGAGCCACAGTGCCACTTCTGGCTTTTTCTGTTTATGTGATACTGAGGGATTAAACCCAGGGTTTCATGCATGCTAGGCAAGCACTGTGCCGATAAGCCATATTCCCAGCCCTCCATGAGACTCTCACCTTCAGTAAACTACTCACAAAAGGTCAGAAGTGGCACTGGAGCTCAAGTGGTAGAACACTAGCCTTGAGCACAAAGAGGCTCAAGGACAGTGCCCAGGCCCAGGACTGGCAAAAAAATAAATTAAAAAAAATCAGAGGGGAAGGAAGGGAAACGACTTTATTTTTATGGTATGGGGGATCCAACCCAGGGCCTCACAGAAGGCCAAGTGAGTGCTCCATGAAGCTATATCCTAACTCTTTCTTTTCCACCTCCTATACTAAGTAACTAGCTAGCTGATTGTCTTATTCTAGGCTGTTTGCACTGATGGCAAGCTCTTCAACCATTTAGAGACTATTTGGCGATTCCGCCCTGGTATTCCTGCCTACCCTCGAACCTGCACTGTGGACTTTTCGGTGAGTCAAGCAGCTTTGTAGGTCTAGGATTAAATATGAGGGAAGAGCTGTGTCAGTGTGGAATTCTTTAGCACCAAACTTTTTTTATTTTTTTGGTCAGTTGTGGGGCTCGAACTCTGGGCCTGAGTGCTGTCCCTCAGCTTTTCAGCTAAAGGCTAGCTAGCGCTCTACCACTTGAGCTACAGCACCACTTTCGGTTTTCTGGGATTATTGGAGATAAGAGTCTCCAGACTTTCCTGCCTGGTCTGGCTTTGAACTGCAATCCTCAGATCTCAGCCTCCTGAGTAGCTAGGATTACAGGCATGAGCCACCAGCACCTGGCACCAAACAGCTCTTAAATCAAGTTTTCAGATGCCTGGGTTTGTATGGAACTTTTACTCTGCCCAGTCCTAAATTGGTGCTCTTGAAGGAGTCTAAAACAGGAGTGGGGGGATAAAGAGTAAAGACACTATGGATCAGTACCTTCCCATTCAGCCAGGACTATTGAACATGGTTTTCAAGAGGTTCTGACAATATTTCTTACACATTCCCAGATTACCTTTGAATTTCGTTCTCTGCTGCACTCCCAGCTGGCCACTATGTTTTTTGATGAGGTTGTCAAACAGAATGTTGCTGCCTTCGAACGCCGGGCGGCCACAAAGTTTGGTCCAGAAACAGTCATCCCCCGTGAACTGATGTTCCATGAGGTGCACCAGACTTGAGGCAAAGGATTGCTCATCTAGCCTCCCTTCTATTTCCCCTTCCTATGCAATTATTTATTTTGTTTGGCTCCAACTTTGAGAGGGACCTATGTTCATAGTACCATTTCTCCTCTCAGTTTTATAAAAAGTGGACTCTATGCTGGCTGAAAATGTTGTGGAAAAGGCAGGTGATATGCAAGTAAGACATGAATAGGTCAGGCTTTTCTTTAAAGTTCAGCCTTTTCACATTCAATTAGAACCAGGTCTTGTCACTGAGCCCTGTCAGGGCGTTTTATAAATGTCTGACCAAGGGAAGAAAGTTAACTTCTTGAAGGCTTAAATAAACAGAGCTTTCTCTGGTTCAGAGGTTTTGGGTGGTAACTTTTGTTTTACCTTAGATTCCTCAGGAGACAAGGCAGCCTGCTTCAGTTTGAGTATTTCCATGCTGTCTGTCTAGTAGAGAGAGCAGCTCTCCTCATAACTGCCACATGGTGGAAAAAGAAGTACTGAACAGAATTGTCTGAACTAATGGGTTGCACCTTATTCTTCCACATGACATGAGTTTTTATAAAATCTCAATAAACTGTGACAGTGTGAATTTGTCTTTTTTTGTATTATTTCTTTTGGGGAGGAGGCTAATGTACATATAGTTAAGTAGAAGAAAGCCATTGCTTCCTTTCCCAGGGGAGTTAAAGTGTAAAAAAGCTTCTTGGACATAGTGTCCCTGCTAACTATAGTAGCACATTCTACATTCCAGGACCTAGTACCCACCCACTTGCCTATTTATAGCCTTTACAGAAGGTCATTTACTGCATCTCAGGACAGAAACATATGGTTTCAGACCAGAGGTCTGATGCCCTTGTAGCTGATGCCTGAGGACCACCCCTTCTTATTTGGGGGTACTCCTTAGTGAAAGCTGCAAAGAAAAGTTGGTACCTGCCAGGCGCCAATGGCTCATGCCTGTAATCCTAGCTACTCAGGAGGCTGAGACCTGAGAATTGCGGTTCAAAGCCAGCCTGAGCAGGAAAGTCCATGAGACTCTTTTGTTGTTGTTGGTCATAGGGCCTGAACTCTGGGCCTGGGAGCTGTCCCTCATCGATTCAGCTCAAGGTGAGTGGTCTATCAATTGAGCCACAGCATCACTTCCGATTAAATTTATTTAATTTAACTCAGTATTGAACTCAGGACCTGGGCACTGTCCCTGAGCTTCTTTTGCTCAAGGTTAGCACTCTACCTCTTGAGCCATAGCACAACTTCTGGCTTTTACTGCTTATATGGTGCTGAGGAATCAAACGCAGAGCCTCATGCATGCAAGGCAAGCACTCTACCACTGAGCCTCCTTCCCAGCTCCCTCATGAGATTCTTATCTCCAATTAACCACCAGAAAATCAGAAGTGGCACTGTGGCTCAAGTGGTAGAGTGCTCACCTTGCGTTTGAAGAGCTCAGGGACAGCGCCCAGGCCCAAAGTTAAAGCCCCAAGACCAAAAAAAATAAATAAGTAAAAAATAAACAGGTGCTGGGAAGGTGGCTCAGTGGTAGAGGGCTTGCCTTGCATGTATGAGGCCCTGGGTTCGACTCCTCAGCACCACCTAAGCAGAAAAAGCCGGAAGTAGGACGGTAGCCTTGAGCTGAAGAGCTGAGGGACAGTGTCCAGGCCCAGAGTTCAGGCCCCATGACCAGAAAAAAATAAATAAATAAAAAATAAACAGGTACCTAATGACAACTAGAGCCCTCTAGTGTTCAGGTCCTGAGCTAGTAGTCTTAGTCCAATTTGTCCTTGCTGTAATTTGTTCCTTTCACCCAGTGGGCTAGACCAGTTCTTAGATGAGTCACGTAAGCAGCTGTGATGTCTCAGCCACAGTCCTTGAGTGTTCTACTTTACTATGAAACTAGGAAGGATGGAGGCTAAAGGTAAAGGACTTCCTAACCTTGACGAAGAAGCCTCCTTTGGAAATCTCACAGGGAGCTTTTCCTCCGATGCATAGAATAACTTATAACCCACTAAGTTCAGGACCTGGTTTTTCAGATTCCTTGCCTCAAAATAAAGATTCCTCCAGGACTTATTTAGTAGCAGGCTCAAGCATTGTTAATAAAAACATTTATTTTTTTTTTTATTTTTATACAGAACAACCTGAAGTTTGCATCATGACTTAACAGTTACCCAGGGGTTTTACAGTGTCCATCTCAACAGCGTGGTTCTGGGGTTTAGATTCTACACAAACACAGGCAGGGGTTTTGGGAAAAGGGGGCACAGCAGGAGTGTCTCAATCCTTTCTCAAGGAAAAGGTAGTAGAGCATTCTGAGTCACTGAAAACCTGTGCAAATGAGGCTTCTAAAACAAACACTGTTCTGTGCGTTCTTGAGGAGGGGGCAGGAGACTGATAAATAAGGGAACAATTTCTGGTGGTAGGGAATGACATGGGGAGGTTTATTATTTTGAATGCCCCCAACCCTTGGACTGGATATTCAAAAGGACCATCTCCAATCACTTCTCTGTTCAAAAAGAAATGCTAGAACCCTTTGACCATACCACAAAAGGGCTGGCCATCCCTGAGAGCTTCTGTTGTATGCGCCACAGCCTATTAATAAAGGACAAAAAAGGCCCCAGGAAACAGATCAGTGGGTAGTGGCTTGTATTCTGTAAAAGTAAAAAGCTTAGTTCACATTAAGTACTGATAAAGCCAAATAACTAAAAGACCACAGTTCAGACAGACCTGCTCAGGTCTCTGGTATGGACCAACAGGGAAAGACCTAGAGCATCCTCAGCTTGAGGCACGGCAGGTATAGAGAGCCTGGAAGGAGGTATTCAAGCAGTAGGAAACTGAATACTCCCAGGCCCTAATTTTAATGGGCAATTTTAAAAAGAGATCAAATCAAACAGTGGGTGCCACTCACAACAAGTGTGATTGATGCCTTTATGGCCACCTGGTAGTATACAAAAAAAATGGCCAAAACATGTCCAGCAAACCAATAGGTCTTTCTAGGTGTCTGTGTACAGGAGAGGAACATTAGGCTTGACAAAGCTGACAATTTAGCATTGATTCCTATGGAACTATAAGAAAAAATTCTGATCTGTTGGCCTAGAGGGCAGGGCAAAGAAGCAAAAGCTCCAGAGTGAATGCAGATTCTCCTAAATCTGCTTTGATTTGAGGGAAGAAGAGCCAGATTCTCATTCTGGAGTTGGTGGGTGGGTGGCCAACTCTAACCCATACCACATGCATTAGTCCTGGTCATCCTACAGTTGATGGGCAACTCATACTAGGCAGAGAAAGGGAGCTGGTTAGGGAAGAAAGGGGGGGAGGGGTCACTTTTCATCTTTTAAAGTCTTTGTTTATATTTTAACTTCAAACATATATTCAGTGCCTCAGATACAATTTAATCTTAAGTCTTTAAAGGCCCCATGAAACAAAAGTATACTTTATTTTTAAGCTTCCTCATTTTCTTGTAGTCAGCTTTCCACAACTCTAGTTTTACCCTGACTTAGAGTCCACAAACTTCATCAGACCATCTGTGCTCATGGATTTGGGCCTTTCTAGAGGGAAGCCTAGGGCTCGGCTCCAAATGAGCTGTGCCAGCACACCCAGTGCCCGTGACACCCCGAACAGGACTGTGTAGTAATTCATCTCCGTCATGCCATAGTACTGTAAGACAGAAGAGAAAAAAAGCTTTGTTAAAGGTTCAGAGGCAGAGCTAAAGATGTAGGTCAGTGGTAAAGTGCTTGGCTACCACAAACAAAGCCCTGGAGTCCAATTCCTACAGTAGAAGAAAAGGAGGTCTAAAGGAAGTGGTATGTACAAGTCCAGTGTGAAAGGACCCTTAGAGGCCCCATTTTCTCTTTTTCTCTAGGGACGTTGCCCAGTCAACCTTAAATAAAAATGACACTAAGAAAAGCACACATTGGGATTCTGAAAGAACAATCCCTGACCTGCCATAGACAACTTTATCAAAGGACTCTATAGGAGTCCTTTATCAAAGTCCATGCTCTGTCTCAGGGAGTTGATTTTGTACACGGCAGAATAGTAGGTTGTGTTGAAATTCGAAGGAAGGACTCACCTGAAGCAGCACGCCACTGTGAGCATCAACATTGGGCCATGGATTCTTGGCCTTGCCCTGCTCTAAGAGGATATTGGGCACAATCTTGTACAGTTGAGCAACCAGCTTAAACATGGGATCATTAGGTAGGTGTTTCAGTGCAAACTCTCGCTGACAGGAGTATCGTGGATCAGTCTTCCTTAGTACTGCATGACCATAGCCTGGTACAACCTGTAAAGGGTGAGGATAAGCAGCTGGTACTCTCAGGTAGAATTTTTTTTTTCTTTTTCTGGTATTCAGGGCTCTGCATTTGTTAGCCTGGCATTCTACCACTTGAGCCATACTACCAACCTGTCTTATTACTGGTTATTTTTGGAAATGGAGTCTTTCAGACTTTTCTTCCTGAGTTGGCTTTGAACTAGGATCCTCTAGACCTCAAGTCTCCTCAGTAGCTAGAATTATAGGCATGAACCACTGGTGCAAGACTAGAATGTTTCACCCCTAAATCCTAAATGAGGGAAAAAAATTCTTTGTCTACTTTAGGGACTACCTCCCCACCCCCCCCCCTTTTTTTTTCTTTCCTTTGGTGTCTATCCTGGGCCTGAGTGCTGTCCCTGAGCCTCTGTGCTCAAGACTAATAGTCTACCACTTGAGCCACAGTGCCACTTCCAGTTTTTGAGTGGTTAATTGGAGGTTAAGTGTATCACGGAGACTTTTCTGCCTCATATGACTTCAAACCGCAGTCCTCAGATCTTAGCCTCAGATCTTAGCTAGGATTATAGGCATGAGCCACCAGCACCTGGCACCCTGAGCTTTTTTGCTTAAAACAAACACTGAACCATTTGAGCCACATCACTACTTCTGTTTTTTTTTTCCTTAGTAGTTAACTGGAGATACTTTCCTGCCTAGGCTGGCTTCAAACCACAATCCTCAGATCTCAGCCTACTGAGTAGCTAGGATTTACAGGTGTGAGCCATCGGTGCTTGGCTTTTTTTTGCCAGTCGTGGGGCTTGAACTCTGGGCCTGGGCGCTGTCCCTCAGCTCTTCAGCTCAAGGCGAGGGCTCTACCACTTGAGCTACAGTGCTACTTCTGGTTTTCTGGTGGTTTATGGGAGATAAGAGTTCCACGGACTTTCCTGCCCAGGCTGGCTTTGAACCTTGATCCTCAAATCTCAGCCTCCTGAGTAGCTAGGATTACAGGCATGAGCCACCGGAGCCTGGCTTGGCTTTTTTTTTGAGACAAGATTATGCTATGTTGCACACACTGGCCTGAAATCTAATAGCCCAGAGTAGTCTAGAACATGTGACCTGACTCTCCTGCTTCAGTTTTCTGAGTGCTGGTATTATAGGTGTGTGCCATCTTGCCTGGTTCATTGTTTTTTCCTTTTTTTTTTTTTTTTTTTAACTCTGGGCGGGCCTGGGCGCTGCCCCTGAGCTCTTCAGCTCAAGTTGAGTACTCTACCACTTGAGCCACAGCGCCACTTCTGGTTTTCTGGTGGTAAATTGGAGATAAAAGTCTCATGAACTTTCCTGCCTGGGCTGGCTTTGAACCGTGATCCTCAGAT